TATGTATGTATATATATTTTTATATATAGTATATAAATCAATAATTAGACACTTATTTACAATCGCAACGAGAAACATGTAACAAAAATTAAACTATAATATAGCCTAAGAGAAAGAGGTCGTAGAACAATTTTTCAGGTACAAAATGAGATTAATCGTTTATATACAAATTTCACTTGTAATTATCGTTAATCGGGAAAACGTTGCAAGCATTCACGCGATGCTTATCGTTTATCTCTTTAGATACTTAACGATCGAGCTGTGTGTTACCTGATTAAAATCCGGACGATCGAATTCAGGCTAATCGAAAAATGAGCTCGACCATCAGCTCGCATACAGTTTGTATACATACAGGTGTTCAACGTTGCTGCAATCACTCGGTGAACGTAAATTACCGGTTTCTCCGATTCCCCTTCTCTCTCTCCCATCCTCTCTCTCTCTTTCCCCTCATTTCCTTCATGTCACGATCGGCTACGCTCAATCTCACAGATACGCACGATCGTGCGATAGATGTAACATGCCATACTTTGTATTTCGAAATACGGACAAACGGGATTGTCTACGAACCGAAACGATTATTCGCTCGGTGATGGATAGAAGCAGCGAAGCCCAATTTCAAGGTGGGAAAATATTTTTGCGGCGCGCCCCCCTCCCCTCCCCCCGGATTCTCGTCCGGTCTCCTTCATTCTTACTTTCGTAAGAAAGCGCAACTATAACCCGATACCTCTTTCCGCTCGAGCGTGGAAAAAAGGCCCGCGCGCGGCGACTTTCTCTCGGCGCAAGTGTGACAATCGTCGCGACACGATTCGACGAAGCCGATTCTAATCTCCGAGGACTTGATAAGCGCGGTTCAATCGAGTTAGTTTCGCGTACCAGGAATCCTGCGAGCGCCATCGCGAGAAACCGATTGTCATCGTGTGACTGTGTGAAATTCTCGAGAGTTAGTCGAGAAATTCTTCTTACCTTGACGCGGTAGAAAAGAAATTTTTCAGCCAGTCACGACGAGGAAGATCTTAAGACGCCTGTGTTTTTGAGGAAATAGTGTTTAGGAAGATTACCGGTAAATCGCTCGGTCGGCAAATATTTTCTCGTTTTACGCCAGTTGCGAGAGATTTGCGTGTTTCATGAGAGTTTACGCGGGGAAAAAGATGATAGTCGGTGAGAGACTGTCGTAACTTTTCATTCCCGAGTGCCTAATCGAGTATCTGGAAGAGCTATTTATCAGTCGCGATCACTTCAAGTAATGCTTCTTCCTCGCAGAGGCGCTTATGCAGGGCGCCTCGTGCTTCGAACTCGTATCCTTCCACGCGGTGCTCTTCGCGGGTGAATCGCTGAATCTCGTTTTGGCCAGGGTCATCGCCTTCTGACAGCTGTCCTGCTCTAAAAGATCGCCCTCGAAGAATCGGCACATCTCTCGCACGGGCAGAGCCCTGGCGCCCCGATTGAGATCGTGAAGCGATCTTGCACGTTGCTTGCCCCTGGGACTGGGTTTCGAAGACGTTCGGCCAAGATCCTCCGTGCTTCTGGCCAGGCGACCGCCTAATCGCGAGAGGGACTCGAACAAGGTGAGCTTCTCCCGCACCGGCACGTAGTGGTCCACCCTTTGACATCGTTCCAGGAGTTTGGCAACGTCTTCTTCGCAGGGTGGCTTCAGAGCCAATGGGGAGTCCGGTGATTTCGGGGAGGCCGGGATCGCCGGGCAATCGGCGGACCTCGAGCAAAATTGCGACGATTGACGAGATACAGGGATCTTGGAAGACAGAAGAGCCAGGCGTTCTTTGCGTTCCCGAAGAGTTTCCACGCTCGCGACGTTGATGCTGGTCATCGATTGTTGTTGCACCTTTTCGCGAAAGATCCTTCTCTCTCGCGCGCGACTTCTCCTCTCGTTCAAGTCCGACCTGAGTATGCCGGGACTGCCGCTTCCGTTCTTCGGGCTGTTGTTGTTGTTTCGCTTGTCCGCCTCGTTCCGATGAGTTTCCTCGGTAGAGAACCTCACCGTGGACGATTCGTTCGACTTGATCGGAGGCAATCGGTCGACGATCGAATTTTCGTTTCGCGTTGGTGCCATGTCGATGGACGCGAGGATCTCCTTCTTGGACGAGCGTGTCGGACGTAAGTCGTCGTTGTCGTTGGCGGAGTCAACGACAATCCTACTCCTTGATCTACCATAGATTTTGGGCAGGTTGTTGTTGTTCTCCTCAGCCCTCGCTCTACGTCGCCTCGCGTCCTCTTCGAGAACTCGCCGGCTCCTCGCCTCGTTCTCGCGTCTGCGCGCCTCCTTGTACCTCTGTATCCTCTGTTCCCTCGTTTCCGGTTCCGGCAGGGGAACGCTGCTAGAGTCGACTGAGTCGACGCTGGACCGGCATACGCCACCCCAAGGGAGACTGTCGTCGCTACCCTCGCTGCTCTCGCTGCAACCCCACGCTCTGCCGACCGGTTGGTCCTTGGCGCTTATCACAGCGGGTATGCTACGAAATTCTCCCAGGAGGTCCTCGTCGCTCGAGTTGCTGCTGGACCAACCGCGCAACTCGCTCCTCGCTCTCCTCCTAGACTCGTCGAGTACTATTGTCGTCGCGCTCATCGTCGTCTTCTCTATCGGCGAATCACTCGGCCAGCAACGTAATTCGCTGCGGGATCGTCTCCTAGTTTCGGTTGGGCTGTCCGGCAACGGGATCGGCCCTCTCGGACAGATAGTCAGTATCTCCAGAAAGTTCAAACATCGTTGTGCTCGAAACGGCGTTTGCCGAACCAATTCAGCCGCGATCGCTCTGACCCAGGACCAATAGATCGGTTCCGTGTCCGCCTAAACACATAAAAACATCGACGTGTTGCGTTTTAATATCTTTAGCAATAATTGTTATAGACACAATATATATTTTTGGGTTCTTAAAAATATTTTATAAAAGACATATTTTTTTATATGTAATAAATATGTTACTAAAATATTATATTTTATATTTATATGTATAAATGGTTCTTATCTTATTTTAATATTTTAGCATCTCAGATGATTTTTTCTCTCTCTTTCTCTTCCTTCTATAACTGTATTAATATTCATCTCTTTCTCTAAATATTTTACAAACATTTTGTGACTTTCGCGGAGGATTAAAATGACGGATAAGAATCGAAGTGATTAAATAAAATCTGATCGATAACCGCAATATGAAAGTTTTCAGACAGATAGATGGGTAGATGGATGGGTCTGATATATAGGATAACGGGTATGTAGGACCACTATTGGCAGCATCGCCGACGGTTATGCGTATTCGGATTTCATATTCTCGTACGGTAGGTAGGTAGATATCAGGATGCTCCATCGAGTAGTCGAACGGATCTGTCTACCCGCAGGATCGACCGTGACACATGATTTCGCTGACTGGGTTGGCGATTCGAAAGTCGCCGGTTCGTTCGAAACTCACGCGAACGACCGACTCCGAACACCGTGGAATTTACTCGTTAACCACCGACGGCGCGTCGATCATTACCATCTTCGATGGGTAAAACAAATCTCCCTGTCGTCTTGCTTGCTAACGTGACCTTCGCGCGCGTATACGCTGTCGGTTCGACGACACTGGCCGATATCGTGTCTGGAAAAAAGCTCGCCAACAGGTTTCCCGCTATCGTTCGTTGTCTATCTCGACGAACAGCGTGGAAAACCCGCTTTCGATCGAAAACCGTGATGGCAAAATCGTATGCGAGCTCGTCTATATTTCCACGTTCTAAAGTGCCACGTTCATGATTGTTCACGATTGTTAATCATCAATGAGGTTCGCGTTGTTACCATAATTGCTTCAATTAGCATCATTAAGCCGACTCAGCATAAAAACGCGAAAATGTCGAAGGACTTGTTCGATTGACAGACTACGCGCCGGCAAGCAAGGCAGCGTCCTTGAAGTCTCATACAAAGAGGTGATGAAGCCCTCCTCGAGAGGCTACGAGAGCGAGCGTGGTGGGATTCCTTGACAATGGCGGGTCATGGGAGAACGGTGTAACAATCTCCCACGCATTTATCACGGAGTGCGAATCGGCCAAGCGGGTGTGTTGACCTTGCCTACTGGCCTTATTTAAGATCTCGTGATTCGACGGGGGCCGAGCGGAACCGGGAACCGGGCGTGTGTGTTGCGTCACGTGCCGATCCACGTGTCGCTCCATCGTCTGGACATCCGCGACCTTGCGGCAAGGATGCCTTTCGCGTATCCTACATTCTTCGAGCGCTTTACCCCCAAATCGAGGCGATTTTCATTAAGGTCGACGAGGGACGATTCTCGTCGTCCTAGAGAAGAGAGCTCTAATTGGATTATTCCGCGAGTCGAGAGAAAAGAAAAGGGGAAGGTGAAAATCCATCGCTACGTGCCAGGGCGAAACTCGTAAAACGAGTTCTTCTCCTCATCTCGTGAATCTGAAAGCGACCGATCCGAGAGCGACGAGCGTCTTCTCTATGCAAAGCGAGGAGAAATTCGCGAGCGATTTGAATTTTGGACAATTTTCTAGAGATCGGCGCTCGGCTTCTCACGGTAGATAGATAACTCGGGCGCGTTCTGCTCGCTCGCGGGGATTGTATAACGCGTTAGAAATCGAATGGCGATGCCGGCCGGCGGGACCGTAATTAGAAGTTGCTGCGAAACTGGGAGGCCGGCGCGGCCCGCCCGGCGAAAGTGCTTATGACCGAGGAAACGGATCGTGCCGAAGATAAAGGCTATTTACATGCAATTGCATTGCGTGGTGCATATTATTCCTCTCTCTCTTTCTCGGCTATTCCTATCTTCGCCTTCTCGTCTTATCTTCATTCTCTTCGTTCTCTTACGGTCACCGACGCTTCGATCAGCGGAGATTCCGTGGAACCGTGCCAAATCGCGAATACCTTCTGTTCTCATGAAGAGAGTTCCTGGCCCTCTAACATTGTTGTTGCGCTGGTCAGGTATATCGGGAGAGGAATTTCTCTTCAATAGGATGGGAAATTGATTTCTCACAAAGTTTGCGATTCTTAACGAAATGGGCGAATTTTTATATCTGTCCATTTAAAAATAAGACAGAATTAAAAACGAGACACTTGATCAGCGGTAATAATTACCCAAAATGTGGCGAGAGAACGACCTTCTGAATCGCTCAGGGTAAAACCTAGAGCAAACGTGTGCGGTTGACAGATGCTGGGCGATGCTTGACGGAGATTCAACGCTCTCAAGGGTAACCTCATCGGGGTACCTTCAACCCACAGCCAACCCATCCTGATGGAAACCGTCCTCCTTTCGCTCAGATCTTCTACGTACAGCTCGCCTGAAATTCAGATTAAAAAAAGAAATATGAGAGAACTGATTCATTTTATCACAGCTGAATCAGTTTTTATTTGCGACATATTTTAATCTTAATGTACTGCTTATAGATATCCTCTCTCCGTCAATGTGAACTTTTGTTCTCGTCGCGTTCAATAGCGCCGATCGTAAATGGTAGCGCTATTAATATTCGCGCCGCGGTTTCGAGATTAAGTCGGAGGAGAATCGATGATTCACGGGTTTATCGCGAACGTCTGGTAAACGAGCGGCGGAAGAAATCTCGCATATATTGCGAGCAATTGATTGTATCTGCGTTACGATCGTGCATATCGAAAGTAAGAGCCGTATCTCGTCGACTCGACGCGACGGCGAGCGATCGCGTTTATTAGCCTGATGAATATTTCATCGCGCGAGCCGCGAGTGCGCATTGTCGGAGGTGGTTACGGAGCGATCCGACCTCCACAATTTCTCGGCTATATCCCGAATTAGTCGATAGCATGCGAAGTATAGTGATCGAAGCCATCGACGTCGGTTTCAGGCCGGACACTGTTTTCGACTCGCGTCCGAAAGGATGTATCTTAAAAGGTTTACGTCACGAGCGCGCTCATTACGCCTTAGTTTACGACGTAAGACTGTAATTCCATCTTCGCGAAAAAGGAAAAAAATGCGGTGGAGGACATAAGAGGGCAACGAATCGAGAGATTGACGTCATCCGATCGAGAGGCGTGGGCGATGTGCGTGGTGGTATCATCGGCACCCCGTGGTTGCTCCTCGCTCGTTCACGATTCAATGACTATCGACCGAAAACGGCGTCAAATGCGCCTACGTTTCTCATCGCGGCACTCAGGCGACTATTTTTGCTCGACTCCGGGATAGAAATAGATTCCGCCGCGACGAACGAATGCTCGTTCGTCGTCTTCGTTCAATCTTACGGCGCCTGCGAGATAATCTGAGTCTGTCGTCGAGACGACGGCAATTCGCGGGCAAATAAAAATCTCATCCTCGTCTTTTATTTCGGCGATGTTAAATTACGTGAAAAAAAAAAAAAAAACATTTTTCGACGATTTGTTTTAGTAGTAGTATTTCGCCAAATTTCTTAATCATGAATTATAAAAATATCTATATAATATCCAGAATAAGAGCATCGTCAATTAAGGGCCCAGTCTACTCTAGCAGTGTGAAAAATTGTTGATTTTTAGGAATTTTTTTTTTAACATTAAAAATTGATCTTTTGCTTCCTCATAGAGGAAGCTTTGTTTTCGTGACAAAATTTTTTTTCCAGTTTTCTATGCCAATGTGTTTTTAGAATGTTTCAAAACGTCGAAAAATCATATTTTTGAAAAATGTTTGTATATATGTATGTATGTACGGAATGTACATTGTACAACCTCTAACTTCCGCAATTTTTGAGATACCGGGGTAATTTTTTAAAAATAAATAGGGTATCATTAAAGGATGGTTGGTATTGAATTTGGTGAGTATCGATGAAAGGGTATATTTTTTATAACATTTTTAATTTTTTGAGAAATGTCTATACATTGTAACTTTCGCAAATTTTGAGATATCGGATTAAATTTTTTTACATGAATAGAGTATTATTAAAGGATGTTTGATATTGAATTTAGTGAGGATCGGTGAAAGAAATTATTTTAATTTTTATTTTGCTCACAAAGTTTCCTCTATGAGGAAGCAAAAATTGAAAAATCCGCATGCTTAAAGCAGCTTAAGCATTGTAAGATAAAATGATGAGGAAGCAATGTGCAAGTTTTTAATTTGCACAACTCTACTTGTTTTGCATATGTTTTTATTGATGTTTAAACAGTACGTCAGTATTTTTAAATCTTGGATATTTAGCTTTTTTTATTTAATACAAGCCTTTAGCACGTAGCATGTTTAAAAATGGTTTGATAGTGACATGCTGCTCCTCGTGTAATTTTCTGAAATAAAAAAGAACGGTTTAGTTGTATTTCGTAGGATGATTTTGGACTACTGAACTTAATTTCATTTTAAAAAAAATTTGGAAATTACAAAGTAATGTCACTTTTAAATTAGATATTTCAAAATTTCGCTAAAATTTTTTCATTTCTCGAAGGTCAGAAACACATTGAATCTAAATTTTTTAAATTTTTATTAGATTCAGTATCCCACAAAAAGTGTCCTCTTTTTTCATTTAAAAAAAATTGAAACTATTCGGTCCATTAGTTTCCCAGATATCCAATACACCAACTTTAAAAACAGTGTTTTGAGAAAAACGCATTTAAAGTTTTGCAAGTTTATTTCAAGGCCATCCTATTCAAAGTTTTACAACTCCGTCAATTTTGCGAATTTTTCAATATAATTTGAAAGGTATTTTACAGACATCGTTCTTTCAGAAAATGTAAAAAAATCGATTTCTTTTGACTCTCTAAAGTAAACTGGGCTCTTAATTAATTTAACGATATTCGATGTTATTCATTGATCGAGTCCGCGTCTCGGAATTCGATGAATTCCGAACACTTGCCGCTTCCAATTGCCCCGAAAAAGAGGGGATCCATTAAGCGTTTCTTGCATTAGGCACTTTCCGAAATTTATCACAGTGAAGGACGTTTACGAGCTCCGAGTTATCAGAAGGACACGATTGACGGGATGCTTGGAATTCTTTCGGTACAATAGTAACAAGGAAAATGGACGTTTATACGTTTTGCCTTAAAGTCTTTCACTTGCATTCTTCCTTTGTGTGGGCGGATGTCGATGAACGTTTTATGTCACAACCTGACCTACGACACACTGCTTTTGTCCGGAAATAATCCCTTTCGCCAGGACGAAAATTTGTCTCGCCTAAAGAATCCCGCCGATTAACCCTTTGTTCACCATTGAGTGTTAGGTAACTCTCCGCTCGTTTCACTTTCTTACGCTGTCGCCATTCTTACAACGGACAACAATAGAGAATCTAATCCCGTAGAAAATTAGTCTCTGTGAATTGCCGTAGGTGCAAGAGGGAGGTCATCATAATGATGTCAGATAATGTCGGAAAATGAAAAATTATTAGTACACGCAATAAATGTTGACAAACTAAGGATTTTTAATATTTGTCATGATAGTATATATATATATATATGATATGTAATATATTGATTTATATTTAAAATTATCTTGCGAAATGCGTGTCGAGATGCGTCACGCGAGCCTAACATGTCAGTCGTGACGTACATGACAGGTCTCGAGGAACTTTACAGACTTGTATAGCGGAGTTTCGTGTCGCGACGCGCGTTTGGAAAGCGCTAGAAACAGCAGCGTTACATTTATGTCTCTCTCGGATACTGGGAAAAAATATCTCACGATGCATTATCGGAGTGAAAGCGTCGTCGTTTTCACGGGACGAAATTCGCATCGGAGATGCGATCATATCTCGTTGTCATTTGACGTTTGGTAGTGTCACGATTGTTCTCGAAGGCTAGAATCTAGCAAAATGTAAATGGCAGAAAGTATGAAAAATATGCCTTCATGCTCTTTAGGTTTTTTATCATATCGATGGATTGCATTGAATGGTCATCAAATGGATTTCGTGATATCTTGTATCGATCACGCAATAATCTGATATTAAAATCGCTTTTACAAAAGTTATAAGAGTAATTCTTGCAATCGAATCTAAATAAAGAGAAGCAAGATTTAAGATATTCAAAATAATAAAAAAGAAATATAATTTAATTTTAATTATAATTTAATTTTTATTTGTATAACTCAAGATCTATTTCTGATATTAAAATCGCTTTTACAAAATTAATTATTAATTTGTAATGTCTTTTGTTCTTTAATTTATTAAATTTTGTCGCCTGGTTTTCGTTTTTTAAATTTTATTTTATTTTATACATCCGTTAATCGCTCCTTGTGCCCTTTTTATATATTTATGATATTGTTGAAGACCATTTTTCATTTTTCCTTGCGGCTCTCTTTCATCAGAATTTTCAGTTCCAGTAATCGACATTCCTTTAATCCAAGTGATTAACAGACCATAAAGCTAGATAAAGACAAATTATGCGTGATTTGCGGATCCTGCGGATGTTACCGATCATGTACCTTCTCTATGATGATTTTCACACCCATGAATCACTATAAATTCATGGTCATTCCATTTGTCTACGCGGACAAGGCTCTTTACTCCGTGAGATTTTTTCCACGAACGCGTTACGAAGTATGTATCTGACTCATCGGCCAATCTCGTCAAGTGGGTGCATCAATTTTTTTCTTTTTCCTTTAATCAACCAAGCGCATCGATTGCGTCAACAATTACGTTATTTGAAAACGTCGGTTGCCCCGGATTGGAAGTGAAGTCGCGAAGTTTCTTTCTATCGAAACTTCGCGCTCGATGCTCGATGACAAAGCGAGACTTCGTGAGAGGTACATTGTTACTTCGGTGATTGTTGGAGAGATTTACGATGTACAAATTTTGTAAGGCACACTTGGGTACCTGCTTATGCGTTGACACGTCTGTTTAAGGATTTCTCCTCGTACAAATCCGAGTTTTCTGGTCGAAACGACACATTCTCGGGAAGCTCTCGAGCGGGAATCCTCCGCCGAGTTCTCGAATGCCCTTGGAAGTCCAAGCCTCTTCAAGAAAGAAGACCGCTCTCACGGCCCATTAAGCTCCAGAAAGCGAGCGTGTCGCGCGCATACGCGTGTGAATGATCTATAAATAAAGCGATCCGTTTCTAGGCCCGCATCCTGTCGTTCCGAAAGCTTCTCGGTTGAACAAACGTATCGGGCTATTACTCGAAAGTTTGTGCATTTGAAACCGCCGTCTTGATTTCTTTACTGGCGCATAACGAGAGATATGGCTTTAATAATTTCTTCCATTTGTTCTCACACCGCCAATACACGCGGCAAAAATAATTGACGACCGGAAAAGCTGTACAAATATATCCAGCGAAACGTACGCACAGGGACGTCTTATGGAAAAATATATTATTAAATAAAACTATACTAGAATCGCGTTTCTCGTGCGTGCAAAGTTCTTATCTAGGCATT